ATCATCTTCACCATTCCTACCCTTAACAATCGTACCACCATAAAACCCATATCATCTTCACCATTCCTACCCTTAACAATGGTACCACCATATAACCCATATCATCTTCACCATTCCTACCCTTAACAATCATACCACCATAAAACCCATATCATCTTCACCATTCCTACCCTTAACAATTGTACCACCATATAACCCATATCATCTTCACCATTCCTACCCTTAACAATGGTACCACCATATAACCCATATCAACTTCACCATTATTATCCTTAACAATTGTACCACCATATAACCCATATCATCTTCACCATTCCTACCCTTAACAATCGTTCCACCATATAACCCATATCATCTTCACCATTCCTACCCTTAACAATCGTTCCACCATATAACCCATATCATCTTCACCATTCCTACCCTTAACAATTGTACCACCATAAAACCCATATCATCTTCACCATTCCTACCCTTAACAATCGTACCACCATATAACCCATATCACCTTCACCATTCCTACCCTTAACAATCGTACCACCATATAACCCATATCACCTTCACCATTCCTACCCTTAACAATCGTACCACCATATAACCCATATCATCTTCACCATTCCTACCCTTAACAATGGTACCACCATATAACCCATATCAACTTCACCATTCCTACCCTTAACAATCGTACCACCATATAACCCATATCATCTTCACCATTCCTACCCTTAACAATCGTACCACCATATACCCCTATCATCTTCACCATTCCTACCCTTAACAATGGTACCACCATATAACCCATATCATCTTCACCATTCCTACCCTTAACAATCGTACCACCATAAAACCCATATAATCTTCACCATTCCTACCCTTAACAATTGTACCACCATATAACCCATATCTTCTTCACCATTCCTACCCTTAACAATGGTACCACCATATAACCCATATCACCTTCACCATTCCTACCCTTAACAATCGTACCACCATATAACCCATATCATCTTCACCATTCCTACCCTTAACAATGGTACCACCATATAACCCATATCATCTTCCCATTCCTACCCTTAACAATGGTACCACCATATAACCCATATCATCTTCACCATTCCTACCCTTAACAATCGTACCACTATATAACCCATATCATCTTTACCATTCCTACCCTTAACAATGGTACCACCATATAACCCATATCATCTTCACCATTCCTACCCTTAACAATTGTACCACCATATAACCCATATCAACTTCACCATTATTATCCTTAACAATTGTACCACCATATAACCCATATCATCTTCACCATTCCTACCCTTAACAATCGTTCCACCATATAACCCATATCATCTTCACCATTCCTACCCTTAACAATCGTTCCACCATATAACCCATATCATCTTCACCATTCCTACCCTTAACAATCGTACCACCATAAAACCCATATCATCTTCACCATTCCTACCCTTAACAATGGTACCACCATATAACCCATATCACCTTCACCATTCCTACCCTTAACAATGGTACCACCATATAACCCATATCATCTTCCCCATTCCTACCCTTAACAATGGTACCACCATATAACCCATATCATCTTCACCATTCCTACCCTTAACAATGGTACCACCATATAACCCATATCAACTTCACCATTCCTACCCTTAACAATCGTACCACCATATAACCCATATCATCTTCACCATTCCTACCCTTAACAATCGTACCACCATATAACCCATATCATCTTCACCATTCCTACCCTTAACAATCGTTCCACCATATAACCCATATCATCTTCACCATTCCTACCCTTAACAATCGTACCACCATAAAACCCATATCATCTTCACCATTCCTACCCTTAACAATGGTACCACCATATAACCCATATCATCTTCACCATTCCTACCCTTAACAATGGTACCACCATATAACCCATATCACCTTCACCATTCCTACCCTTAACAATGGTACCACCATATAACCCATATCATCTTCACCATTTCTACCCTTAACAATGGTACCACCATATAACCCATATCATCTTCACCATTCCTACCCTTAACAATGGTACCACCATATAACCCATATCAACTTCACCATTATTATCCTTAACAATTGTACCACCATATAAACCATATCATCTTCACCATTCCTACCCTTAACAATCCTACCACCATATAACCCATATCATCTTCACCATTCCTACCCTTAACAATCCTACCACCATATAACCCATATCATCTTCACCATTCCTACCCTTAACAATTGTACCACCATATAACCCATATCATCTTCACCATTCCTACCCTTAACAATTGTACCACCATATAACCCATATCATCTTCACCATTCCTACCCTTAACAATTGTACCACCATATAACCCATATCATCTTCACCATTTCTACCCTTAACAATTACCACCATATAAAACCCATATCATCTTCACCATTCCTACCCTTAACAATCGTACCACCATATAACCCATATCATCTTCACCATATCTACCCCTACCCTTAACAATCGTACCACCATATAACCCATATCATCTTCACCATTCCTACCCTTAACAATGGTACCACCATATAACCCATAGCATCTTCACCATTCCTACCCTTAACAATGATACCAACATATAACCCATATCATCTGCACCATTCCTACCCTTAACAATGGTACCACCATATAACCCATATCATCTGCGCCATTCCTACCCTTAACAATTGTACCACCATATAACCCATATCACCTTCACCATTCCTACCCTTAACAATTGTACCACCATATAATCCATATCATCTTCACCATTCCTACCCTTAACAATTGTACCATCATATAACCCATATCATCTTCACCATTCCTACCCTTAACATTTTAACCACCATATAATGCATATCACCTTCACTTTTGTTCTTATTAGTGGTATCACCATATAACCCATATAATAACTTCACCATTATTATCCTTAAAAGAGAAGTATGGGCTTTTTTCCCCAATTATACTTACCTAGTTGGATGCAGCATCGGTGCGATGCTGCATCTGTTCCCCGCCAACTCTAAGTGTGAGAACTCGGCCATCACATGACCACTGATTGCTGAGTTCTCACAGCCTCTCTGAGCAGAGAGCGGTGACCAGGGGTGGACTGACCATTTGGAAACCCGGGCACTGCAGTAGGGGGCCCCATGAGATGCCCCTGGTACCTTTTTCATAGGCTTTTTTGAGTTTGGGCAAGGACACATGTTCCCCTATTGCCCGGGGGCCCCATGAGTTGTCAGTCCGCCCCTGGCGGTGACTGTCAGTCACCGCTCTTTGCTCTACTCCCCCCTGCGCTCACTGGAGCTCTAAGTTGTGGAGAAGGAGGGTGCTGCTGGCTCAGGCTCTCAGCAGCTCCCTGAGAGGATCTGCTTTCCCCAGCCTGCACTGCCTGAGTGACATCAGCTGACAGCAAAACCAGGAAAAATGCAGCCGAAAGAGCTTTAGCTGTACTTCTTTAAAAGTACCACCATATAACCCATATCACCTTTCTTCTTAACAGTGGTACCACCATATAATGCATATCACCTTTCTTACCTTTAATAGTGGTTTTACCATATAACCTATATCACCTTCACCTTTGTTGTCCTTAAGAGTGATGTCACCATATAACCTATATTACCTTCAGTATTCTTACCCCGAACAATAGATTTTTCCACCATTAATACAAAATCTTATACTAAATTTACACTATTATTTTTTTATATAAAACAATATACAGTATGTTATATGAAATTTGTTACAAAAACTTTGCCCTGAAACTTTCACATCTTGAGCTAACGGTCTGTTCTTACACATGACATAGTTGCTGAAAAATGAATTGTACTTTTATTGTGCCTCTTTCCCCTAGACTGCCCAAAAATCTATCCTGCAAATGACACACGCCTATTGCAAGCTTTCACCGCGGCCGAGTCGCTGCCTTATATATTGGCCATGTAAAAGTTAGATAAACAGAAAGCTTATATCAGCAGATCACAATATGTGACACGGCGAATAGCGTGCCAACAGCTCACTTTAATATTTTTGGTCTTAGCAGATTTACCTCTTTAAAGGCCAGCGGTGTAATTATTCTATAAAATAAGAGCGGTGCGAGGAGCTGCTGAACAGATATATCATTTCCGATGTATAGATATGAATCTGAAGCAGCTAGGGGCATCCATTTAGGTAATGTAACCTTGAAGAAAGCAGATGCCGCAAAGAGACAAGAATATATATAGATTGTTCAAAATAATTTGAAGGTTACAAGTGTACAGCAAGACTGGAGCTGGAAAAAGTTTTTTTGTGTAAAAGTGGAGGATGACATGTGACAAACTTCATGTTCTAGATCATTAATAGAACTGTGCATGACAGCCCCAATATTGCAAGTGACACGTTGCTGCAAAGGTCCCCTGACCTGATCCAAGATGAGAGCAAAAAAAGTGTAAAACTCTCAGATTAATATGCAACCGGAATCAGTGTCACTAAGCTCTGATGAGTGCATTGTGCGTAAATATCTGGTTTTGCACTTTTTACAAAAAACAGATCTTGAAAAAATTAAAGGAAATTATTTTTTTTTGCCTTTTCTTAAAGTGAACCTGAGCTCAAAAAGTAAGATTTCTTATGTTATAAGGAAACATTAAATATGCCTAAGCAGCACTCTGAAAAATGTATTCTTTTACTGAAAGTGTTACTAAACCCACAACAGTAAAATCAGTCTGTATATGCAGTAAAGCATGCTTGTTATACTCATTGTGGAACCTAAGGGGTTAATGCTCTGCATTGTGTAAAAATGTGGTTTAATCCTGTCTTCTCTGATGCTTCCCTTCTTCCACTGTCCCCAGTCCATCTGCTGATAGAACAGAACCTTGGGGGGCAAGGTGCAAATTCTCAGTTTGGTGTGTATTGCTGGAGAGTTTTTTTTTTCTGGGAGAACGCATGTAATCAGCATAGGGCCAATCAACACTAGCCAGACAAAAGGTCATGGATCCTGCAGCCTCATAGGACAATCAGAGGAGAATGAAAACTCCTCCTACAAGCTTTAACCAGTGGTCTGCTGGACACTGATAGAAGTCACAAGACTGCTCTAACTGCTGATGAGAAAAAGTATTTAGCAGTTTATAATTACTAAAATAATTGCATTTCTATCTGTGTACTGTGGGAGACCAGATATAGTGAACACAGGGTCCTGGGTTTAGTAACACTTTAAATAGCAGTGCACTTCCTGGTATGTGAGTGTGTTTAGGCACTCCTGTTCCTGCAGTCTTGTAGCTGTTTATCTGAAGTGTAAGACCTATGGCACGACTGCCTCTGATTGCTAGTTCCAGGAGATTCAGAGTGAGATTTGGCGATGTCACTACTGTGCTGATCACTGTTCTCCTTGCTGAAGGCTCTGACATGGGGAAGTAAAGCCCTGCCTCTACCAAAATGGCCACCTCCACACAGAGCTGCAGTGTAGAAAAAGACATGGTCAGTCACTAATGGAGGAAAGACCAGCTGCAGGGAGACCACAGGCAATACCAGTGACTAGGTCCTTTGCCATCTTCTTGCCTTTGTTTTGGGCACAGCGTTCAGAGTTTAGTTTTAATGTAAAACCTATAATATAAAAATAAATCTGTTTAAATCTACTTCCAGAAGAAAAAACTTTTCATCCCACAAAAAAAAAATCTTCCAGATTACAAAAGCAAAAAATTGTTTGACAAAAAAACTGACATCTAATCTAAAAGAAAGTCTTCCAGTCCTATAAGGGACCACAATGCTGTGATCCTAAACTGTAAGCTCCAAGGAGCAGGGCCCTCCTAACCCTCTTGTATTGAACTGTATTGTTGCTGTATTGTCTCCCTTTATATTGTAAAGCGCTGAGCAAACTGTTGGCGCTATATAAATCCTGTATTATAATAATAATAATAATCCTGAAATGTTCAAGAAACAATAACAGGCATCTGTTAAAATTTTTAAGGCTTCGCAGAAAACATTTATTTGTACTTTAAATGTTATAGAATCGAATGGAGGGTCCATCGGGCTTATCACAGTACTTCTTGGGTGGACAACAGCATCTTGTTCCATAATTCTGAACAGTCCAGCATTATGTCCTAAGATGTACAGAGGGCAGAGCTGAGAACCAGGGAACACATGGACTGCAATCAGGGGCAGACTGACCATTTGGAAACTCAGGCACTGCCCGAGGGCCAGTGGTCAGTAGGGGGCCCCATGAGATGCCCCTGGTACCTTTTCATAGGCTTTTTTTGAGTTTGGGCAAGGACACAGGGGCCCCATGATCCCCTATTGCCCGGGGGCCCCATGAGTTGTCAGTCCGTCCCTGACTGCAATATTCCAGGCTCAGGTAGAACATGTAGCTAGCTGCACAAAAATGGGTGCCCTTATGAAAGCTAAATACATTTTTGTTTTTAGGTACTGTACTTGAAGGCAGGTGCAGTCTGTACTCCCCACTGTACATGGCATTTTGCCCAAAGTGGCAATTCAGCAGATGAAGGAAGTCTTGGGGAGCTTATTTTCTCTATGATTTCCTGTGGTTACCTGGGGGCAACTGTCTGTTGGGATGCTGGTTCCCTGGTGACCCCTGTGGACATCTTGGGTGAGGGCAGAGCTTATTTAAGTTCCAGTTCACCTGAATTGGCATGCATTTTGTGAGTGGCTAGAGTAGGGACAGTCTGTTAGGGACAGCACTTAGCGGTAAAGAAAGGTTCCAGAGGAGTAGGTAAAGTGCAGGGACTACATCTCTCTTCTGGAGCAGTTTCCTAATTAGGGTTGACCAGCCAGGCTGTACTTCCACTCCTCCTTGTAGATCTCAGAAGCATCACTCTGGACTGCTGCCGTGAGTTTTGCATGCGTTTCCAGACAGCTGTACTCGCCCACCAGACTGTTGTAGCTTGTTGGAACATTTCAACATATCCTGTTCTATACAATCCATCCTTGTGTACTTTCTCCCACCACCACAGCACACTGTACCCTGCTAACATACTATTTAATGCCTATCAATATTTATAATTTTATAATATATATATATATATTAAATACATAATTGGTATTTACAGCTGAACTCCAGGCAAACAGCTAAATATACATAAGGGGCATTTTTAACTGCCAAAGAATTTGTATTTATGGACATTCGGTCCTATTATTTACACAGTCAAGCTGCTACCCAGGCTTTTCTCTACTGAGACACAGATTGGTTGGCTCTGATTCCAGTTTGTGATTAGAGAGTGAAGGAGCAGCGGCTGACTGATGCAAAATGCTCTCTCACACCTGATTGGCTCTTACCCTAGGTTCACACCTAAGCGTTTTCTGCAGCGTTTTGCAGAAACACAGTTCAGTTCATTTACATGATTTCCTATGGGACAGGCTCACATCTTCACATTTTCACCCTGTGCATTTTTTGGAAAGGGTCATTGACTTTTTGGAACGCATTACATTGAGTTTTTGGTTCTACAGACTTCAATGGGAACGCTGCAGTAAAGCATGTATTGCGTTTTTGCCGTGTTTTTGGTGAGTTTTGTGTTTAAAATCTGCCTAGCAAAAAGAAAAATTAACAAAAAATTTAAAAAACCTGCAAAACGCATAAAAATGCGTCAAAATCGCAAGTGCGAAAACGCAATGCAAAACACAATGCAGAAACACTTCAAACACAACCTGCATAGGTATGAGCCTAGCCTTAGATCTGTCCTTTCCTTCTCTCAAACTTTAAACTTTACAGAGCTTAACAGGAGGTGGGCAAAAAGTCACATACAGGCATTTAAAGTATGTAGATAAAACTTTTTTTTTTACCCCTTCCTGCCTAAGGGTAAAAACAAATGTTAATGCTTAAGCACAACTTTGCAAGTTTGCCATGTGTTAGTAAAACCGTACATATCATCACAACTACTTTGTGCATCCAGGTGGATTATACCGCGTTTTATTCAGGACAAATTGGGCTTTCATTTGGTGGTAAATAGTAATGAATATCTCCTGATTTTTATTTTAATTTCAAAGGAAAACTGGCGCAAAATAGTAAAAAAAACAATTTTTTTAAATTTAGCTGTATATTACTTACCACTATGATAACCTACCACCAAAGAACAACCAAACAAAATTCTCCTGCTCTTGACGATCATAATGTTCCCACATATGTGTATGTTAGTTGTTGTTTGTACCCGTAGTACAGCCCAGAAACAATAGTGTGCATTTTGCTTTTTTTATGCTACCTAAAACACACTGACACTAACTGACACTGATACTAATTTAAAAAAAAAAAAAAATTAAAAATCCTGCCCCCCCAAAATACTGACCCTGATCTTTGACCCTGACCTTCACCTAAACACTAACCCTGGCACTGACCTAGATCAAACCTTGATCTAAGTTTTTTTTGTTTTGTTTTTTATTATTGCAGCACCCCTTTAGTGCAGCTAGGGGGAACTAGACCCTAATGGTTAGTCAGGGGCTAGTTCGCAGCTCAGGTGTGATAGCCAGAGGGTTCAAATTTTGGTCAGGGCTAAGAGACTCTGCAGCCTAGCTCCTCTGGAATTTCCCCATGTTCTGAGGCTTTTTGAGGAGGGCCTTGGAGGCAGTGGGTGGATCTGAGGAGTGGTTGGTTGCACTCTTGAGGGACCTCAACCAATCCCCAACAGAAGTCTTAGCAAGGGGCTGGGGCACCCTTAAAGTGTAAGAGCCTGCCCAGTAGCAGGAGTGTGGTGGTTGGAGACGAGTGTAGAGCAGGAAGATGTGGGGCTGGAAGTAGAAGTCTGCCAGGAGGCCTGGTGAGATGGGGCCTGCCTGCAAGCCTGGAGCTGGAAAGGAGGAAAAAACTTGGGACTCACTGGCCCCCTGAGAGAGGATCACCAGTATGGCAGGGAAGGAGAAGTCCGGTTGATAGGACTGGTAGCAGCAGCCATCCTGAAAGTGGTACAGAGGATCTGAGTGAGTACACCTGCACCCTTTGGGCGGATGCTAGTTACTGTGCACCTTATGTAAAGGAAGAGGAGCCAGATCCCCTGCTTAGAAAGAAAGTCTCCAGATTGCTAGGTGAAGAGGAGTTAATCCAGGGTCTGGGGTGGTACAACTTGGAGCTGCTGGATAGCGCTCCACTAGAGACTGTGTTGCTGCAGAAGAGAACCTTGTGAATAGTTCAGGAAGTTGTCCTCAGATATCGGTTCCCTTGGGCATCCTATACACCCCTTAACCCTATCCAAGTACTAATCCCCTCAATAAATACCAAAACTAAAGCTCAAAGACTGGATTCTGTCTCCGGATGAAAGTTTGTTTGGGAAATGCTGAGTGACTGGCTGTGCAGGACTATAGGGGACCCAAATTAATCAGTAATCCCTAAGGAAGTAGTGCTACATTATTATAATACTATTTTTATTATTTTACACACTGTTGTTTTTTTTTCTCTCTGAATGGAGAGAGAAATACAATGTATCTTTCTCCTCCATTCAGAGAAAGAAAACACGGGGGCGTGCTTCACAGTGATTGATCACTGTAATAGCCAATAAGAGGCTACCACAGCAATCAGGTGACCCAGAATCAGGAGTTCCAGGTTCCAATCGTCAGTACGGGACCCAGGGCTTTCAGTGAGAACCCTGTCTCTGTGCTGGGAATACACCATGAGGAGCGCTCCCAGCACATAGACAGATACACAAATATGCGGCACCATGGAAAAAAGCCCAGTCCAGTGGGGCCGCATATTTAAGTACACTCCGCGGGAATAGGTTAACATTTAGATAGAGTGAAGAGCAATTAAAACCTCTCTCAGGTTTTTATTCCTGCCTGTGCCCCCATTTGGGAAATTCACCCTCTATTTTTCTTATTAACCATTATTATTAATATTATTATGCAGTATTTATATAGCGCCAAAGGGTATGCTCAGCGCTGTACAGTAGCAAGGGGGACATAACATGAGACAAGACAGTAACAATACACTACACACGAGGGGTTCGAGGGCCCTGCTCTTTTGAGCTTACAATCTAGGATCTAGCATTATCACCAAGAGTAAAAACGAATGTAAATCCTAAATTTTGGGTTATCTCCCAGAGCAGTAATAGAGGGAAAATATTCCATTGGAGACACTAGTTCTGACGAACCTGGTGACTGCCAGGGATTCCCTCACTTTGGAAGGATTTTCCCTCACTTCCTGTTGTGGCTATGAGACAGTAAGTGAAGGGAAATCTCCCCAATGGGACACAGATGTCAAAGAAAAAAAAAAAAAGACAAAAAAAAACTGCCTTACTCTTTTCAAAATTAATAAAATATTTTGTCTTTAGTTCTTCTTTAAAGTTATCTCACTGAAAAATACGTTTAGTGATTTTTATAATTAAAAATATATTAAATGGTTTAGTTTTATACACATCTGAAGTTTAGCTTCTAATGACAAAAAAGAATTTTCAGAGGCGTTGTACTTTAAGACTGGAAGTAGAAAATTTGCCCAAATGTGCTCACTGCTGATAGGCAGGCTCTCTAGAATGTTGGGTTTAACAGTGCAACTGAGCATCTCCAAAACTACATAAAGTTACTTGGTTTTAGTGTATTTCCTCTTTTGCAGTCAAATTTGAGAAAACCCCATTATATGTTTGTTATGTGTTCCTATTCATACAGTATGCCAAGTAATATTGTAAAAAAATATTTTTTACCTTCTGCATATTCTTTAGGAGCAGGAATGTTTGGATCCTAGTTCAAACCCACCTAAGATATCCCACCAGGAAACTCTTACTGTGCACTGCCAATTATAACCGGCCAAGGTATTCACTGACCAGTTGCCACACATATACATGCCCCTGTTGTACAAGACCCTAATTGCCATGGCATGACAAAGGGCCAAAATGGATGCAACTGTGTTAATGAGGTAACTAACTTTCCACTACTGGGACATTGGATGGAACAATGGGAAAATTCCTAATATTACATTCCCAGGCCAGCAATAATTGTCACTGTTGGGTATTTATATAAGCTCCTGGTGGGAGTGGTGTAATAGTAATTATGGGTTTTTTTTTTTTTTTTATCATATTATTATCACATCGTGTTATTTCCAGTGGAGTGTGTTGGTCCACGTGGTCTTTGTGTGCCCAAAAAGTGGCTTGCTAGAGAGACATGCTCCTATGTGGAGAAAAAAGAAGACATTTGGTATTTATACCATGGCTGACATAACTGTATGGATGTAAGTGTTATACAGGGAATATTTTTGGAGTTCAATTGAAAGCCACACTATATTGCCCAAAGTATTGGGACAATCCTCCAAATCATTGGATTCAGGTGTTCCAATCACCTCCATGGTGTATAAAATCAAGCAACTAGGCATGCAGACTGCTTCTACAAACATTTGTGAAAGAATGGGTTGCTCTGGAGCTTAGTGAATTCAAGCGTGGTACCGTGATAAGTTGCCACTTGTGTGATAAGTCCATTCCAAATTTCCTTGCTACTAAATATTCCAATGTCAACTGCTAGTGGTGGTAGTGGGTTTCCATGGCCGAGCAGCTGCATTCAAGCCTTACATCATCAAGTGCAATGCAAAGCGCCAGATGCAGTGGTGTAAAGCATACCGCCACTGGACTCTAGAGCAGTGGGGATGTGTTCTATGGAGTGGCGAATTATACTTCTCTGTCTGGCAATCTGATGGACATGTCTGGGTTTAGTGGTTGCCAGGAGAACATTACTTGCCTGACTGCATTGTGCCAAGTGTAAAGTTTGGTGGAGGGGAATAATAGTGTGGTTTTTTTTTTCAGGGGTTGGGCTCGGAAACTTAGTTCCAGTGAAGGGAACTCTTAAGGTGTCAGCATACCAAGACTTTTTGGACAATTTCATACTCCCAACTTTGTGGGAACAAATTGGAGATGGCCCCTCCCTGTTCCAACATGATTGTACACCAGTGCACAAAAAAAGGTCCATAAAGACATGGATGAGTGAGTTTGGGGTGGAGGAACTTGACTAGCCTTCACAAAGTCCTGACCTTGATCCGATAGAACACCTTTGGGATGAATTAGAACAGAGACTGCAAGCCAGGCCTTCTCGTCCGACATCAGTGCCTGACCTCACAAATGCACTTATGGAAGAATAGTCAAACATTCCCATAGACACATTCCTAAACCTTGTGGACAGCCTTCCCAGAAGAGTTGAAGCTGTTATAGCTGCAAAAGGTGGGCCGACTCAGTATTGAACCCTACAAACCAAGACTGGGATGCCATTAAAGTTCATGTGCATGTAAAGGCAGGCATCCCAATACTTTTGGCAATATCGTGTATGTTATCAGATTTTGAATTAGTATTTTTGTTAAATTCCAGAATGGTACATCTTCACCCTGAGGAAGAATAAGAAAAAAGATCAGAAACACATTTTATTACCCAGTATAAGGACTTGTAATGATGACAAAGAGAGTAGTGATATGTTCTAAATCTGATTTGAGGAGTGTGTGTGTGTGTGTGTGGGGGGGGGGGGGGGGTATATTCAGCTATTATACTTTGGAGCTTGTTATGTAGTACATATCATGGTTTTTTATTCTTACATTTGGATAATTGTAAACTGATATTTAATAAATTGAAGATTTTATACAATTGATTTGGTTGCCATCAAGGTGCCAACAGAGGATTCTTGCATGGATGGTATACGAAATGGGGCAGTGCAGAACTGAGATACTACAATATGGCATATGTAACAAACGGTACAGAATAGGGAATGTACAGCATGGTTTACAAAATGAAGCAGTGGGAATGGAGAATGTGCAACATTGTATACCGAATAAGACAATGGGAATAGAGAGCCTACTGCATGGTATATAGGCTGTAGCAATGGAAATAGGGAACTATAGCCTACTACATGATGTTTGGAATGAGACAGTGTGGAATAAGGAATGTACAGCCTGGTATACGAAATAAGGCAGTGCAGAATTGAGAACATACAGCATGGCATATGGAATGAGGCGATGTAGAATAGGGAATGCACAGCATGGTTTACAGAATGAGGTGATGGGAATAGACAGCCTGCTGCATGGAATACGAAATGAGGAGTTGGGAATAGGAAGTGTACAGCATGGTATGAAACCAGGCATTGCAGAATAGGGAAGGTGCAGCGTGGTAAACAGAATGAGGCAGTGGGAACAGAGAACGTACAGCATGGTATACGATCTAAGGCGATGGGAGTAGGGAATGTACAGCATGGTACACATAGCAACTAGATGAGCATATAAAGCATACATTATGGTATATAGAACAAGGCTATGGGAATAAGAAGCATACAGCATGGAATACAGAACAAAACTATGGGAATAAAAAGCATACAGCTTGGTATACAGATTGAGACGATGGGAATAAGAAACGTACAGCATGGTATAAAGAATGAGGCAATGGGAAGAAGAAGCGTACACCATGGTATAAAGAATGAGGCAATGGGAATAAGAAACGTACAGCATGGTATAAAGAATGAGGCAATGGAAATAAGAAGCGTACAGCATTGTATACAGAATGGAGCAAAGGGAATAAGAAACGTACAGCATGGTATAAAGAATGAGGCAATGGGAATAAGAAATGTACAGAATGGTATAAAGAATGAGGCAATGGGAATTCTTTCTTCAATCTCTCCCTCTCTAATGGCACATTCCCCTCCCCCCTAAAGCACACGCACATCACCCCCATACTCAAAAAACCCTCCCTGGA